ATTATATACATCTGGCTAGAGGGCAGGAGTGGTACCAGAAAGTTCATTATACTCCAAACACCTGCTTGGGCATGAAGGGCCAGTGCAATTTAGTAAAGGTCAAGTTGCTGATGTATCTGTTCAGATTGAGGCTTTCCACCTTCAGCCCCTTGAGGATTCACAGAGTAGGCTGGGAAGGAAATTACCTTAGAATTGGATACAAAAAGCTGTTGGCATTCAGGGTTACTTCGTTAAACAGGGATGGAGCCAGGGACCAAGGGTCAAGCAAATATTAGCATTCTGGTATGCCTAGGTGGATGTGGGTGTTTTCTGAGCTGTATGTATGATTGCAGAAAGTGGGAGGAAAGAGATGTAGGAAACAACTCTGTGGGCAAACTGAGAAGTTGAGTCCACACAGTACAGCAAGAGGGTTATTATACAGTTGGAAAACAGACTATTTTTCTAGAAAGAGCAGTCTCAACTTGCAACCCTCCAGGTGTACTGGCATCTCAACACACAGCGTTGCGACCAGTGCTGGCTAGGAAGAGAAGGTCCCACACAGATTGATTTGCTGGGAAAGCTATGTCAGACCCTTTTTTCCCCCCTTCAGTTTCACTAGCATTTCAATTCAGATCATATTTTCCAAGTTTGGGAAATACTACCCAAACCAGCAAAAACCTAGGTATCAAAAATAGCAGAGGAATGAGATATATACCAGGGACAGATCCTTTCTTTAACACATCTGAGTAGTAGTTGTGTAGCATTCTGTATTGCAGATCAAAAGTTCTACCTTTGGGCAGACCTAAATGGAATGGATGAAGCTAGACTGCTTGTTTGGACCATTGAATAGTGCCACAGGGAACGTCCCCTGCCTTTGTGGAAAGCCATGGATCTTGCCACTTTAAAGGGCTGGAGAGATCAAGAAAAGAAAAGAAGTAGACTTGGGGCCTAAAATACAGTTGCTGTTCCTGAGGCTGGAATAAAAAAGAAGACTATGATCAAGAATAGATATAAATCTTAATAAATAGTGGATGGTCTGCCACAGGCCATTCTGATGACTAAAGCCAGAATCAGATTTTAAAACATTTCTCTGGAAATTGTGCCTGAACTCTTTGAAGCAAAACAACGGAACGAACTATAGGGCTGAGAATATACAGCTGGATATGCAACTCACAACTCCATGTCAAGCCCCAGCTCCATTTTTGCAACCTCTGGTGTCCCTCTAATACAGTGCTTCTCAACGTTTGTGTGACGGCGACCCCCGTCACACAAACGTGCCGCGCATGCGTGGCGGCGCCCCCATGCGCGCCGCAGCACCGCCCCACGCGTGGCACCGCCCCCATGCGCGGCGCGCATGCGCAGCGCCGCCCCCCGAGGGGGGAAAATGGCAGATCGCCTTGTTTGGCGACCCCCGAGAAATGGTCGATCGACCCCAAATGGGGTCGCGACCCATAGGTTGAGAACCGCTGCTCTAATATGATATTGCTGAATCTTAGCAACTAAACACCAATTTCAGCATCTTTTGTCATTTAGTGGAAAGAATAACAAGAATAGATGCATTAAAATGTAACCCGTCTATTTGAGGTTGACACCCCAAATTTCATCTCCCAGACCAAAAAAAAAAAAAAAGGTGACAAATTCAGCCTTGCCACTTCATCTAACTCACTGCATCATCAGGTATGCTTCCTGCAGCCCTCGGGAGCCATTTTCCTTTTAGAACAGTGTTCCCAAACTTGACAATTTTAAGGCATGTGGACTTCAATTCCCAGAATTCCACAGCTAGCGTTGCTGGCTGTGGAATTCTGGGAGTTGAAGTCCTCATGCCTTAAAATTGTCAAGTTTGGGAAACACTGTTTTAGAAGAAAGGCACAGACCAGCCCCAGAAACAAAAACAAAAAAAAATTGCTTACCCTTGGACACTCCAACATTGTCTCATCCAGAATACTTGTCCCTTCCATCAACCCTACCAAAAGCCAGGCTTTTGACACATATGAAAAGGGGGAGGAGATGTAAAGAAAAAGTAGCTATAGAGCACTCTTTATTACCAGTATTTGAGAACATATCTCAGCAAAAATCCATAGTCGACATACGTTTATACTCCTGATGTGAAAAATGGATATAGATTGTCTGTTTCTCTCATAATATTAGAAAGCGAGCTTAACCTACGAACAGATTGATAGCAAATTCAGGACAAAGTAGGAATATTTTATTTCACATGGTAACAGCATGTGAAAGCGAGGAACTCTGTATCTATGTCTGCTGATCCCATCTATTCTTCTTAATTATCTCAACTGCTGTCTCCACAGCAGCAGCTAAGATTTTTACCATGCCAGTTTTCTTTCTAGCAAGCATGTACTTTTGACGCTTGAAATAATCAGAAAAATGAATTGTCTTTCTATACAATTCTGTACATCAAAACACTCCCAGAGCATATAATGCCTTAAGGAAGGCTACTTACCAAGAGAGATTTCTTGTGCACAAAATTTCAGATTTATTACAATTTAACCCTTTATTACTGTATATTTGGTTCTTTGTTTATAATACAGGTAGTCCTCAATTGAGCCCAAAATTTTGGTTGTTAAGTAAGACATTTGTTAAGTGAGTTTTGCCCCATTTTATGACTTTTCTTGCCACAGCTAAGTGACACTACAGTTGATTAGTTAGTAACCCACTTGTTAAGCGAATCTGGCTTCCCCATTGACTTTGCTTGTCAGAAGGTTGCAAAAAGTGGCTACATGATCTTGGGACACTGCAAGGGCCATAAGTATGAACCAGTGGCCAAGCATCTGAATTCTGATCACATGACCATGGGGATGCTGCAAAGGTCATAGCTGTGAAAAATGGTCATAAGTCACTTTTTTCAGTGCCGTTGTAACTTTGATCACTAAACAAACTATTGTAAGTCAAGGACTACCTGTTTCCAGCACGAGTTTTAGAATATTTTATTATTTACACATGGTGAAACTTTCCCTTATTTTTCACTGCAGAGGATTCACTGCAAATTGACTTACTTTTTTTAAAAAAAGGGAATCCTTAAATAGAACAATTTAAACAATTTAAGAAGAAGCAAAAGCTGATTAATAGTTTCAGAAACAAGCAGGATTTCAGGTTAAATCAGCTTCTTAACCTTGGTGTTTTGGAGGTATTGGGAAAAGAATTCCCAATCACTGTAGACAGTTCCAACACACATAGATCATTAGCAGAATAGACAGAATTCTCAAGGAATTTCATATATTGGGAGCTGCACAAAAAAACCCCTTCTTTACATTTCTGAAAATCATACTTAAATGTGACAGGATAGAGCAGTGGTTCTCAACCTGTGGGTCGGGACCCCATTTGGGGTCGAACAACCATTTCACGGGGGTCGCCAAACAACGCAGTCCACCATTTTTCCCCCTTTTTCTTAGCTGTGCTACTCCCTTTTATTCTATTGGCTTTTGAAAGCCAATAGAATAGACTCTTTTGAATAGAGTCTAATTCTATTGGCTTTCAAAAGCCAATAGGAATTGTCCAGGCTGTCTCTGCTCTGCTGAGCCTTCCAAAAGTCCCATTTTGCAAATGGTACTGAACCAGTTGAGTAGTCCTCGACTTACGACCGGTTGAGTAGTCCTTGACTTACGACCGGTTGGGGGTCACAGCATTAAAAAGGTTGAGAACCACTGGGATAGAGAGTAAAGAAGATTACCTTGATGAATGTATGCAGAAGCCATTGTCTAGGCCAGGGGTAGGCAACCTCGGCTCTTTTATGACTCGTGGACTTCAACTCCCAGAATAGCTGACTCAGGAATTCACGAGTCATAAAAGAGCCGAGGTTGCCTACCCCTGATCTAGGCAAAAGGGGCTGAGGCATCTTTAAAGGCTAAAACAAGAAAACATTTGGAAGTGAGTTAGGCAAAGGACTCCCTAATTCATTAGCTATAAGAAGAGGAAGATGTACAGCAGGATCAGACCTGGCAGATCCTATTATTACAGCCAGACTCAATGAAAGTGGTTTTATTTATTTATTTATTTATTTATTTATTTATTTATTTATTTATTCATGAGACTTATATACCGCTTTTAAGTGCAAGCACTCTCTAAGCGGTGTACACCAGTAAGCAATGTATATATATATTTACATTGCCCCCAACAATTTGGGTCCTCATTTTACCTATCTCGGAAGGATGGAAGGCTGAGTCAACCTTGAGCCGGTGAGATTTGAACCGCTGACCTGCTAAACACAGTCAGCTAAAGTGGCCTGCAGTACTGCACTCTAACTACTGCGCCACCTCGGCTCATTTTAGCTTTCCTTTGGGATTGATTTCTTGGTCTGGTCTACCTAGTGGGATAGACAGACATAGACATAACTCAACGATGGGTGAGGTTTTATGGCAAGAGATATCCCTATAGAAATTCCTGTTTTTGTCATAGACAGTACATGGAATCAGCGTTGTGTTCCATTGATTTGGGGAACAACTATTTAGGGGAAAGCTGGTTAAGAAAGAAATGATATTCAAAGGATGATAAGTAACAGGATTGGAAAGGTTAAAGTGGTGGAAGTGAAGGGAAATCGAATAAGCGAAGTCAAGGGCAGGTTAGTGGATAGTGAAAATCAACCTGAGATTACATCCTCACTGATAAAGTAAATGACATCATCAACCATGATGAAATAAAATATCCCAGTAACAATTTTCAACAGATGGAGGAAGAGAAAGTGTTTGACTTTTACAGACTTTTCTCTTTAGTCCCTCTGGCAGAAAAGTCCTGCTCCCTTCTATCCTTCAAGATACCAGCCGCAGAGAGTAATTTCTCTTCCCAAGACACAGTTCCTCACCAAGACATGGCGATTTCCCCTTCCTCTTTTAATTCAGTCACTCAAACTGACAGCTACACTATGTACAAGAACTGGGCTACACGATTGCTGTGTCATATTTTCACTGTAAATCTCCTGATGTGTAAAGAGCTCCCTTTCACGCCCCAATCCCCCTGATAAATATTCATTTTATATAAGTATTTTTTCATTTCTCTCGCTCTCTTTTTAGCTGTCCTTAATTCTCATCACTGGATTTGGATTTGTGGGCGGTTTTTATATCCTTGCAAGGAAGACCTTCTTTATTCCTGAAGTGAGGTACGTTTCTGGACAGCAGTTACGCTTAGATTGGAACGAGAGTCTCTGCGGTATTTATAAGGGATCCATGATTCGATCTAAGCTAGCATTTTAGAATCCTTGTGATCTGCTTTGCCATTCCTCTTCACACACAACCAAATCCTGCCAGCATTAGTGCTAGAGTATCAGCAGAATTAGAAGAGCTGATCGATTTGAATGTTTAGGACCATGTAAATGACCTGGGAAGGGGTCACTATTTCTCTCAAGACCTGTTGTCAGGCCAACCTGTCAGGTCAGATTTGACTGATGGGCCAAATGCTCCCTATCCCTGGCCCAGATTATTCTAGGACCGTGGTGGCGAACCTATGGCACGCGTTCCACAAGTGGCACGCAGAGCCCTCTCTGTGGGCACGTGTGCCGTCGCCCCAGTCCTAGGCCTTCAGCTGGGTTTTATAAAACCTTTTCGCTTTAGGCCTCCACCGCCTTGTGCAAAAAAAAAAAACAAGGTTCAATCAATCAATCAATTTCAACTTCTCCCGGGGAAAAAAAAAGATCTCGCAAAGTTGGAATTGATTGATTGAACTTTTTAGTCCCACCCAGTTTGCCGTTACCACTGCAGCCATGCCCACCCAATGGGCCACGCCCACCCAATGGGCCACACCCACCCAATGGGCCACACCCATCCGGCACCCGATGATACATAAGTGGGTTTTGGGTTAGAGTTTGGGCACTCGGTCTCTAAATGGTTCGCCATCACTGTTCTAGGATTTATGCTATCTTGGAGAGGAGAAAGAAAAGTGAGGAAGGAAGGAGTGGTTGCTATTGTTTATAGGAGTATAACTTAAAATATCTACTTATTTATTTAATTTAGAGACCACTCATCTCACACACAGAGTGACTTATCCTTGTTCATGTTTCCAAGAATCAGAGGTCAATGTAGAACCGTAGTGCATATGGGTATTTTCATATTTAGGATTACAACATCTTCCTACTTCAAAATGTTAATGGAGACACTTATGCTCATGTTGTGTTGCCCCCAGAATAAGACCCAACTGGAAAATAAGCCTTACTGTGATTTTTCAGGATGTTTGTAATATAAGCCCCACCCCCCAAAAAAGCCCCAGTTAAGATTGTCAGCCAAATGGATGCATATAGTACCATATTTCTTCGAAAATAAGCCCTAATGCATCTTTTGGAGCAAAAATTAATAGAGGACCTGATCTTGTTTTCGGGAAAACATGGGTACTAGTGAATGGATCATAAGCTCCTTGTCTGACAAAGCCATAGATTTAGTACAGCTTTGGATAGAACATGTTTAGTACAGCTTTGGATAGAACATGAGATTTGAATTTCATTTTTGTAGCACTGCATATGTATTACCAAAGGAAGGAAATCTGAATTTAAAATGACACAGGCCAGACAGGCAATGTACATACGAACAAAAAAACCTGTGAAGTATGTAATTTCTTTACATAGCAATCTAGAACTGCCAATTAAAGTTGAAACTATTCATGGTAATATTTCCCTTCCCAATAATTGTAATTATATGCCACAATTGTTACCAAATAATACTAAGATGTTTAAGCACTAAGGTGAATGAAGAAAACAGCTAATATTTTCAGGAAAAAATATGAATTTTGATGAAATGTCTTGCTGTCATTCCTGGTAATCATAAGATGATTGGTACTTTCATAAATATAAACAAAAAAGAAAGAAGCCAATATTGTTTTAAAAATTGCTGCTGAATCAGGGGAAAACTCTAAAAATGTAACATAAAAATTGTTGATGATATCTGTTGCATAGGTGGAAGGCATTATACATAAAATATAATGATGGTATTGGAATAAATCGGTAAGTTTTAAAGTTTACAATTAATTCAATTGTTTTGTCAAGGAAGATTTAAACAGTCCTTAAACTCTGCCTGGATTACTTTGATATGTATATTTCTCATTAATACTTCCTTGGCAAAAGAAGACTTGCTCCTTAGTGTTAAAAGCCACTCCATAGTTGCTCAAGGGCATTTTTGTCTCATTTTTAATTGGAATAAAATCTCAATGTTTTTACATTTTCACTGTGATCAATCTTGGCCCAGTGGAAATTGATGCTGAACAATGATGTTTTCGTTCTTGGTTATCTGTTCCCATAAGAGCATGTAGAATGTCTGAGCAATACTTATCCAGGAAAGGGGAAAATGTTAGTGACAGTTACAAACTCAGGTATGTCAACACCTCCTCCAAAATGTAGAAGTTCCATAAAAACGTGGAAGAAGAAAACAAAAAAGAAAAGGATGGATGATTCCTGACCCCAAACTCTTGGTTACTGATACCTGCCTAATAAGCATCATGCTATGGGCCTCTGGCAAGTGTACTGTGAGTCATGATACCTGCCTAATAAGCATCATGCTATGGGCCTCTGGCAAGTGTACTGTGAGTCACCCTTTGAAGATGTCTAATGCTTTTATAGTAATATCTGTTTACTTGCTAAAGCAATCATTGATTCAATTTGGCACCAGCTGCCCAGGGCTCTTAGCACAAAAATTATCAGTTGTAGATTTCCTTTGTCTTTGATTGAATTGCAGATAAAAGTGGAATAGACATGTCTTCAACAGCTTCTCAAGAGATGCAGCCAAAATTAGCTCCAGGCTTGGGGGGAAGAGGTTGTTCATGGGTTCTCCTAGACTTCTTCCATCCTAGTGAGAATCCTTGAGAATATTGAAGTTCTTTCTCTTTCCTCTGGAGTATTCACAGTCAGCCCCAGAACATCAGAAATTAAGGGGAAGGTTATTCCCTGAGTCTGTTACTTCAGTCTCCTAGATTGGGGGGGGGAGGCTGCATAACTTTTCTTTGGTCAAGGAAGCACTTGAACAGGTACAGAGCTGCAAATCAAATGGATCAAATATTGCTGTTATCATTTAAAATTAATTCTAAAACCATTCAGTTTTAGGACTGACAAAAGTTAGGATGTGCATCTGTTGAATTCCAAATTTCTGTGACCAAAAACATCACCTCCCAAACAGACAAACAAACTTTATTCTCTTAGTTTCCCACATATACAAACACACACAAATCTCATATACAAAAGAAGTGATGGGACAAGGAAGAGCAAAAGTGATGCTTTGGAGGGGCGACAGGCTGGGGAACATGACTTCCTAGTGGGCCAGATGTGTCCTTGGATTGCAGACTATGTGCCTGTTTTTGACATCTGTCTCAAAGTGACCAACTAAGCCCAGCAGCATTAGCAAGCTCAGGGGACACACAGCCCACAAATGACATCCATCTCTGGGTCTCAGCAAATTCACGATTTGGCAACAGCTATTGCTGGTCATAGTACTAGAGTAAAATCCGGAGCTGGAATGGAGTGAAGTACATTCCAAATCTCTTTTTCCGCCTAGGCAACAACAAATCTCTCCTTTTATCGGAGTCTGATTCCCAAATGGAAAGTTTGGTCTCTTGCTTCCTGCCAGGGGCCAAAGTGTTAGAGGAGCAGGAAAGAGTGCATGTGTGTGTGAGAAGGAGTTTCTCGTGGGAACTTTCCCAGCCTTGACTCCAGGGTTGTTTTTCTGGCTCAACTTCGCCCTATCCCCTTCCTTGCCCGATCACAGATTGTTTCCCCACAGACACCTCGAAGGGAAGAAAAGAATAAAAAACAAAACAAAACAAAAAGCAAGAGTTTAGAAATACTTGAGGTTCCAATGGCAAAAGCAAGAGATTTTTGTAGATATTTTCTCCAGCCATCCCGCTCCTTGAAAACTCAGCTTCAAAATGAGAAAAACCCCAGGTAGAGGCTACCAAACCCTTCCCGTTACAATCCAATTGCCTTCTGAATTTCAATCTGTACCACCATGGCTCTCTTTCCCATTAACACACCTAAAATACGGTGTTACAATATTTTATTAGCAATACTAATAAAATACTAACTAATGCCATAATAAAATACATTTTTATTATAGCTTTACATCAGGATGACACCAGCTAAAATTGCTTCCCCCTATAGAGCTTGTGGACTTAATTCCACTCCCCACTAGTTTTACAAAAGGATGGAATCAAAAAAGAAAAAAATTGCCACAGACTGCTAAATAAATAACCACGGAGGGAGCTGATTTTCAACACCAATACAACTGCACACCTAAGATTAACCAGAACATTTTTAAGTTGTGCTAAACACACTAACTTTTTATTTATTTTATTGAGAGAGAATCTGAACTGGCTGATGACCTTCCCCCTTCTTTTACAGATGCCTCCAAACACTTGTGTCATACACGATTGCTATAAGCTAAAATATGAACTACACAAGACTTTTCAAAACTCTTTCCCCTTGTGGTTACAATGTTGTTCATGGGTAATAATAATAATAATAAGGTTGGAAGGGACCTTGGAGGTTATCAAGTGCAACCCCCTGCTGAGGCAGGAAATCCTACACCATTTTGGACAAATGGCTGTCCAGTCTCTTCTTAAAAACTTCCAGTGACTTTATCTACCAAGGCAAATAGGTGGGCGTGTAATGCTACAAGTACATCAGATGGTTGAAGAAGAAAAAATGGCTTTGGAAGAATATCTGAAGAACAATGATGAAGATGCACTGAAATTAGTATATCAGGAAGGCTTACTGACTACTGGAGAGACCAAACTAGCCTACAAGAAAGACCAAATGAAGAACAGAATACAGGCATGGGAAGACAAAGAACTACATGGCCAGTACATTAAAAAAATAGCTGGGAAAGCAGATAATAACAAGACCTGGCAATGACTAAGAGCAGGAAAATTGAAGAAAGAGACCAAGGGACTAATTCTGGCTGCACAAGACCAAGCCTTAAGGACAAATGCATATAAAGTCAAAATTGAGAAGACAGCAACAGACAGTAAGTGCCGCCTATGCAAAGAAGCTGAAGAAACAGTGGACCACCTGGTAAGCTGTTGCAAGAAGATTCACAGACTGACTACCAGCAGCGGCATGACAAAGTAGCAACAATGGTGCATTGGAAGATCTGCAAAAAATATCATTTGCCTGTAAGCAAAAACTGG